ATACAGTGCATGACGGGACCACGACAGTGCTTTGTTTGATGACATTCGTAGAAAAGTCCAGAAATTGCTCCTACACTGTGTTCGTTGTTCGGATCCAAGTTGCATAACCCAGCATCTACAAATGGCAGCGATAAGCGCAGTGCCGGTTAATGACTCTAGACGAAGAGTGATCAACAGGCGGACGTAGAGGTACAAGCTGCGTGTGCCGTCAAGTAGCTATCCAGTGACAGGCAACCAAGACTGCACTTATCACCGCCGATAGTGAATGTTGGGGTATGTATGTGAGGGCCATGGCTTTCTAGATACAAGACGTTGCGCGACGAAGAGGAAAGAGGGGTCGCGCTGTGTGGGCGACGGGGGTCATGGCGAAGCCTTGACTCGCGATACCTTTGACACACCCTGACACCCAATCCCATGGCTAATCATGCAACATGGATCTGAACCATGATCACAGCGTAAAAAGCAGTTTCTGGCTTGAGCTGTGGCTGTCACCACGGAGGGTGTCGCCTGGGTCTTGTAATGGAGACCAATTTCGAATTCCTATGTAGTCGCGTTACCTTCCGCGGCACCGCGAACCGCTTACAGTAGAATTCGACGAGGTGTCAGTCACCCGCCGAAGCCAGCGTCATTCGCAGTGGGGTGCGCTTCAATGCGAGTTGCACAAATCAGTCTTCACGCTTCGCCACATCATCTCACCATTCGCGCAGTCTAATGGACAACTTATGCTGAAATTTGAACTTGCACATTTCATTCTCGAGACGTAGGCATGTAGGCTCATCATCGCCACCTTTGTGATAGCGCCAATTCCTCCAGCTGTCTTGGCCACGCACAATGAATGGCTCTACCACCAGACGTCCCCTCGCCAATCTCTGCCCTTCAGTTGGTGTCTAACCCCAGGGCAAGTCAGTCGCGCTCATCGTCATCACTCAGCAATACGCTCTGCAGGAATTCAATAGCCTCATCCTCCATTGAACGTACGGCCGTGGCCAACCAGTTAGTCTCGGCTTGCCTTGCGTGAACTTCGGCCTGCTTTGCGCGTCGCTTCAGATTGAGTCTTCCCTGCGTTTCCTCAGGGAGCAAGAGCCACGCGCATGCCGCCAAGACCTTCGGCTGAATTTCGGGCGATATAGCTTGGAATGATCGGTGAACAGGATAGACCGAATTGCCTCGTACTGCTTATGTTAGCGATGCAGGCAAGAGGAAGGACAATGCTTACTCCGGGGTGGCTCGAGCCAGCTGGTGGAGGTGACTGGGGCGCGGCTGCGAACCCACTCAACGACGACGGGCGCTCGGGTTCACCCCAGCCGGGCAGCGAGCGGTTTGGCGTTGACATCGTGAGAGGTAAGCTGTGTCAAAGGTGCGTTTAGCAAGCGGATTGCCAAAGCGACAGTCACATTTGGTGCGAGGGATTACCGGTACATGTGTGACGACGGTCACTGTTTAGAGGTAACGGCTTTCTCTATTCACACGTATACTCCTGCAATAGTAGAACAAACAATCAGCAGTGTGTGTTCACAGCTCGCGTAAACTGCCGATGTGTAACTTCCCAAAGTGACGTACCGTTGTCTGCAGAGTTGCGCGAATCCCAGCGCTGAGACCACCTCGTCTTCTCTGCTGAGGCCGAGGCCGTGAAGAGAGCGCCTGGGGAGTTGGCATTCGTTCGCTCGAATTGCCCTGTTCCTCGTCCTGCTTAGTGGCCGCCTCAAACTCGGGGGGCAGGCCAGCTTCGGGAAGCAGAGTGACTTCAAATCGGACTGAGACGGCAACTGACCCATAGACGATCAAATCCTTGTGAAGTGACAGTAGATTCCGACAAGTCGGTGATCGTGCGAGACGATAATACGGGGTTCTCGCAATTGACTTCCTCCTCGCATTCGACAAGCCGAAGTAGTTCGACAGTGATGAACGGGGAGAGTGTCCATCCTTGATTGACGCTCTCAATCAGGCACTCCCGGTCGCTTCCGCCGTAAGTGGAGAGGTTCTCGGCCAAAGGCACGATGATGTCCCGCAGGACCCTCTGCAAATGCACGTTTGCTTGGGCACTGTCCTGCGTACGCATGTCTGCTTGGGCGGTATTCTGCCTACGCACATCCGCGTGAGCACGATTCTGCATGGTAACAATTGCGTGGGCACAATTCTGCGTAGGCGTGATTCTGCCTAGGCACTATTCCGCAGAGGCACGTCAGCGTGGGCACTGTCCTGCGTACGCATGTCTGCTTGTGCACCATTCTGCTTACTCACGTCTGCATATGCACAATTTTGCGGTAGCGCGACATCCCAGTACGAGAGCCAATGTTGGCTCTTCACCGATAGAATGGGATGCCGCAGGCGAATCTATCCGAATCTGGTGCAGGGTTCTGCCCCTGGGTCTAGCCAAAGATGAGATACCTCAATCTGACTTACAGTACCAGTGCATGTCTGTTTTTACAACATCATGCCCTGCCAGGGGATGCTTTGAGGGATGCACCTTGGAGTATTTGCGGGATTAAGGGATGCAATTGAAGGATGCCTTTGACCCGTCTTTCCATCAGGTAGGGACCAGGGTCTGCAATGCCCTGCCTTACTCAACTCACACGCCAATCTAGCATATGTCTGCCTCAGGCATTCAAGGGCCAGAGCGTTGGACGCGCCTACATCTCCACCAAGAACGAAAGCTCGCCTTTCGGGCTTAGGAGGACAATACTACTTACCCCATAATGGAACGTCCGATTTCACCAGCTGTGTTTCTCAAGCACTTTGTATAGCCGAGACGACGATCCTAACGATGATTGAGCCGACTACGGCGCCTCTGGCCACGGTTGGTTGTCAGCCCACCAAGGAACGAGCCGACGACGATGTGATCTATCTCGGCACCTACAAAGGTGAGTAGCGCCTCGCAAATCGGCGATTTGACTAAAAAGGCTCCAGTAAAGGATTCTACTCAGATCATCGATGCCTCTCAAGGCAAACCCGGGCGAAACAGCAGACTTCTTCGAGACCAAATAACCTCAACTCAGCCAGGGCATCGAAAGAGCCATCATAAGAAAGTCAGTACGGCCTCCACGCTGAGGATACCTGCCGATATGACCTACAAGCATGTCAAACTTGGTGTGGCGAAGGATTTCGCCCAAACGCGTCGAGCTGTATATGGATTCTTCGACCGCGCAGGGAGGCTCCGCCGCCGCATGGACAGCGGGCAGCGCACAGGTACAGCGGATCAGGGTCCTTGCTTGAGCGCCGCTCTTGTCAGTCATGACCAAATGGAATACCGCTCATGCTTCCGTGGATTATCACATCGACAAGTCCGAAGGGAGTTGCGCCGCCACTTAGCAAGAAAGCTTTGTCCGCATCCAGTCGACGGAGAGATATAGCAAAACAAAGCAGCTGGTTTTACTCGAGAGAAGGGATACCGACCAGGCCTCAGCAACCCTGTCCTATCAGACGGCGGCGCTTAGCAAGCACGCAGAAGCTTTTGTCATTTGACGAACATAAGCGCCGTGAGGGATAAGTCAGACGAGGAAACGATGCTAAGGCTGTTATTGGCATGGGACATCATCTGGATTCGGCCTTTCTATATATTGTCTCTGTGCCTCATAGTACTGCAACAGACCCTCCCTCGCCCATGCATGGAGACTCAGTGCCTCTTCCTGTGAGAGATACTCATGGCCTGCGAGGCCGCTGCAGCCATGTCGTCAAGAAAGGAATGCGATGAGCTGATAGACACCCTGGATACTCTTCCTCTCCTTATCAAGCGCGTCAAGGCGTTGCTAGATCACTCGCAGCACCCGTCGATCCACAGCTCGCTTGTGTCGGATTCCCAAGTAGATGATGCGATCTTCTACTCCCTATCCAGAGTCGAGGCCGAAGTCAAGCTTCTTGACGAAACCATTAAGCAACATCTCAGTTGCCTCGGTGAGCTTGGCCGATTGTGAAGCTTTAGGCCGATCTATATTCCTAACCGACACAAGAATTCCCTCCAGGGCCCGACACTGGCAAGCCAGTCGCCGCGCAAGCAGGCGTTCTGTCCGTTCGCTTGCCGCCTACTTCCTCTACCGTCACTGGCGGGGAAGAAGCGTGTAATGTGCCTCTGAATTCGACATTGCCCGCAGAACACAACGCAAGTTTGACCCGAAATGATCGTATCACTGTCAGGGAATGCCGAGCCGACCTGGTCCCATCCTTTGGAGTGAGGAGGGGTTTTGAGAAACGCGAGTTGCCCGGTCTATCGCATGGCATCGTGGAGATGCCTAAGCGCCTCCTCGCACTCACTCCGCCATCCCGTAACGTGTGTTTCGTTGATTTAACAATAGAACATAGCCCCAAGTATGGCCCCGACCTGAATACTGCGTCAGACGTCGGTTCCGATTGCAACCCCGGGTCCGACACCGATCCGAAGCCCAATCGTAAGCCTTCTTCGAAGTCCATCGCGAAATTGATTGCCAGAGCAGTCGAGCATGCCCACGTCGGTTGGCTATCATGCCGAGACCAAGCTCAGTTCAGACAAAGGCTTGGTCAATTTTGTCCAGGACGGTATGTTGACGACGTTGTTTTTCTTGCCATGCTCCAGTTAGTGTGTTGTACTTCTACACTTCAGATCATAGACCCATTGCTTGTGAGTTTCATGGGGCCGTTCTTGACCTCGGGTGCCTTCGCGTTTGCCAAAGGTTTTGACGGCATCGTACTGCCAATCAACGTCAATGCAGCAGATCATATGTCAGATCACAACAGAAATCATTGGATTCTTGCAATCGTCAACTGGAAGACGGAAACATTTGACGCCTTTGGAATGCAGCCAACTGCTTTTTGTCGATGGAGCAAAAGGGTCGATGAATACATCTCGGAACTTCGCGGCGCAGTGATGCAACTCGAGAAAAGATCTCACGAAGTAGGCATCGTTCATTCTGTCCTTCATGTAACGTGTTTTCACTCACATCAATCAGCTGGGACCGTACTTCGATGACTCATGCTGCGCTTTCCTCTGCGCCTACGCTCTCGAGCGGTACATGGGTCGGGCACCTCAACGTCAGGAACGATGGCCCACGGGTCTCGCGTTGAGAAAACACTACTTACGCAGACTTCTTGCCCAATGGGAGCTGCCCGCCGGCCATCTTCCCGAAGGGCCGCAGCATTCGGCTTCTGGTGGAGGACCAAGGTTTGGGTAAGCGCGTCTCCGTTGATAAAGTAAGGCAGTGAGATGCAGAGGGAGCCGCCGCGACATCAGTCATGTAGAGAAACCCCCGAACCCGAAACTAGCGGTCGTGATCTTAGTCAGCTTAGCGAAGCATTGCATGATAAGAAGACTGATGTCGGATTCGTCTGCCGAGCCGATTCAATCCCCGCGGGAGTCCTTCACTAGACTGTACCGGATCGTATGCTTCAGAAGGGCTTTCGACAACGGCAAATCCCCGTTGAGACAGCTAAACAATTCGAAGCAGAGGTGCAGGAAGGCGCACGTACCCAACCAAAGGCGAATGGGGACGCCGAGAGACATACACACAGGCAGCCAATCGAAACCTTCGGCGGGGTTGCGGTGGAATACGCACGGACGTACCAGAGTCATCGACGTCGCTGAGAGCGTTTCATTAGCCGCCATCCTTTTCACATTTCTCTAATCTGAAAGAAAGCCGCAAATTCTGGGATCTCAAGAATGGCCTTTCAAAGGCTAGATTTTGTTTGTTGATTCTGCAAATAACCCTGGATGAGACTGCATCTTTGAAACAGACTAAACCATTATCAGTATGGTGTGGTCATAGGATAAAGGGACCATGTAACTATGCCAT